ATCAAAAAAATGGTTCTTACCTTACTGAAGACTACCTCATGACTCAAATGAACAGAAAAAAACAGTAAACAAACGAACTTAAAAATCAAACTGAATATTTTGCAAAAAAACAGAAATTAGGTTGTTTTGGTGCTTGGCAGGTGTTTGGAAGCTCAACTTATGAACTCAACTAATTCAAATATAACGTCTTTAAAAATTAAAATCAATGTTTTAAAGGAACATACTGTAGAGACTAAAAGAGAACAGCAAAACAAAACTGGCCGTGGCCAATCAAAGTTTCTGGTTTAAAAATCAGACAGTGCTCTAAAATCAATGAACTAATTCGATAAACTACAAAACTTGATAAAAATTCTAGGTTAATTTTTTCCGTTTTTTAAATTTTTTCTCATCCAGGCTAATACTAGGTCAAACTGTGTCTGTTTTGTTAACCCGTGCTCTATTACGATCAAAAAACACGCCCTTCTGTTGTAAGAAAAGTCTTGATTTGAATTTTTTGATTTCTGAAGTGTGAAATGACAAAATTTGCATGAATATTCTCGGTTTGGTCTGTCTAGCAAACCTCCATTCAAAATAGTTTTTCAAAAAAATTTTACAAATAGAAGCTTTTTTTGAACAGCTAGCATGTGGGTCTCTTTTCTTCCGGATAAATCGTCTTTATCTTAACCTATATCGAACTAAATCAAACGGATAAGTTAACCTAAACAATTTTTCTTTGGTGAGCTTTTTGTAGGTACAACTAATTAGGCGAATAATTATCGTGAAGTAATTTTCTCTTTGTGTCCTTGTTTTGAAAATATTTTTAATAACTTAACTCTAATGAATCGTTTAGTTTCAGTTTTGTTTCTATCACAAATAATTGCAAGTTAGTGTTGCTCAGTAAGCCATGTTTTTCTTATTTTTTAAAATAGAATAAATAATGAAGCTGTTTGAAAAGTACAAAAAACAATTACTTGATTTACTATGGGAACTGCCAACAGTTCGGTTCCAGTGCATGCTCTATCACACGCCTACCTAGCAGAACTGTATCACAGCCCACGCCCGTAATCCGGGATCCAATTGTGGAAGCGCAACCCCTCTGGGACCATATCAAAGATTCAGTAGAGTAACAAAATTACGCTGAAGACTGTCTTACGAAGAGTAGACGAAGAAAACTTAGCAATCTCAAAAGACAAACGTAAGTTTGCATGTATACAAGTTGAATGGCTAGTTTATATCTTAGATAATGAAGGCATTAAACCGCTTGTCAGAAAAACAGAGGCAAAAGATAAATAAGCTCCACATACACTATTCAAACAAAGATAAAGTATCATTGGATCCATAAATCATCTCAAAAGTTAAAATAACAGTTCATTAAATTGTTATCTTATATGAGTCATAACCGAGGTTTCTAATGTACCAATCCGTTCGGATTGAGTGTTTTATATATCTCAAACCGCGTGATATGACGCCAGCATTGCCTTCGTCAAAAAAGTTGATAAAATCCAAACTAAGAAGTAATGAGCCAACAACGAGTCGTAAGAAACACTTCCTTTGGTCATCGTTACCACGGTTTTTCGTAAAAGAGTAAATCTTTCTTTAATTTTATTGTTCTTTTCTTCAATGGCCTTCAACCGTTTTTTGTTCCATACTTAAATTTGTGTCATTATTTCATTAATTTTAATAATAATTGGTTTTCTTCAAAAAGTCAGCGTGTGTGCCTCCCTAATCTGAAATTATCGGCCAAAAAGCTGAGAATTGTTTCTGCTTTAAGCAAGCAAATAAAAATTTAGCTCTTTCCTTACTGAAGACTACCTCCTGATTCAATGGAGCGCTGACTTTTTTATTGGATGCTCTATAGTATGGAACAGGTTATATTTTTCCGCTTGAAGTATTGAGCCAAAAACGAGTCGTAAGAAACACTTCCTTTGGTCATCGTTACTATGGCGTTTCGTATATGGGTATATATTTTTCTTTAACTCTATTGTTCTTTTCTTCAAAGGCCTTCAAGTTTTTTTGTTTCATACTTAAATTTGCGTCATCATTTCATTAATTTTAATGATAATTGGTTTTCTTCAAAAAGTCAGCGTGTGTGCCTCCCTAATCTGAAATTATCGGCCAAAAAGCTGAGAATTGTTTCTGCTTTAAGCAAGCAAATAAAAATTTAGCTCTTTCCTTTCTGAAGACTACCTCCTGATTCAATGGAGCGCAAAAAAATAATCAAACGAAATTGAAATTAAACAGAATATTTTGCACAAAAACAAACCTGAGTTGTTTTAGTGTTTCACAGGTGTTTGAAAACTCAAAATATGGGTTCAAATGGTTCAATTTTACTACCATTGAAATTAAGCTTCAATATTTCAATGCACCACTTTGAAGAGACTAAAAAATAATAGCCGATCAAAATTCCCGTAGTCAATCAAAGTAATGAAAAAACAGACAATGCTCGACAATCAATGAACTAGTTTTGCTAAACTACAAGATTTGATAAATGTTTCAGGTTATATTTTTCCGCTTTTTCAATTTTTCCTCATTCAGGCTAAATCTAGGACAAAGTGTGCCTGTTCTGTTAATGCTTGCTTCGTTTCGATCAGAAAACTAGCCTTAGTTTTGTAAGAATTTTCTTGAGCTGAATTTTTTCATATCTCAAATGTAAAAATGACAAAGTTTGCATAAAGATTTGGTCTGTTTAGCAAAAATCCATTCAAGATAAATTTTCAGAAAACTTTTACATATCGAATAATTTTTGAAGAGCTCGCATGCGGGTCTTTTTCGTTCTAGATAAACAGATAAACGGTCTTCATCCTAACCTAGATCAAAATAAATCAAACTGACGAGTTATCCTAGCCATTTCTTTCATGATGAGTTTTCTATCCAAAAGACGTTTCTTAGTACACAAATGTACAACTAATTAGGAGAATAATTATCGTGAATTAATTTTCTCTTTGTGTCCTTATTTTGAAAATATTTTTTAATAACTTAACTCTAATGAATCGTTTAATTTCAGTTTTGTTTTTATCAAAAAAAATTGCTAGTTAGTTTTGCTCAGTAAGCCATATTTTTTTAGTTTTTTTAAAATAGAATAAATATCGAAGCTGTTTGAAAATTACAAAAAACATCTTTTTGATATGCTATGGTAACTGCCAACATTTCAGTTCCAGTTCATGCTCTATCACTCAGACACACGCCTACCTAGCAGAACTGTATCACAGCCCATGCCCGTAATCCGGGATCCAATTGTGGAAGCGCAACGCCTCTGGGACCAGTTCAAAGATTAGGTAGATTAACAAAAAACACTGAAGACTGTCTTAAAAAGAGTAGACGAAGAAATTTTAGCAATCTCACTAGAGAAACGTAAGTTTGCATGTATACAGAAAGAATGGCTAGGGTATATCATAGACAATGAAGGCGTCAAACCGCTTATCAGAAAAACAGAAGCAAAAGAAAAATAAGCTCCGCAAACACTATTCAAACAGATATAAAGTTTAATGGGATCCATAAATCATCTCAAAAGTTAAAATAAGGGTTCATTAACTTGTTATCCTATATGAGTCATAGCCGAGGTTTCTAATGTACCAATCCGTTTGGATTCAGTGTTTTATATATCTCATACCGCGTGATTTGACACCAGCATTGCCTTCGTCAAAAAAGTTGATAAAAACCAAACTAAGAAGTATTGAGCCAAAAACGAGTCGTAAGAAACACTTCCTTTGGTCATCGTTACTATGGCGTTTCGTATATGGGTATATATTTTTCTTTAACTCTATTGTTCTTTTCTTCAAAGGCCTTCAAGTTTTTTTGTTTCATACTTAAATTTGCGTCATCATTTCATTAATTTTAATGATAATTGGTTTTCTTCAAAAAGTCAGCATGTATGCCTCCCTAATCTAAAATTATCGGCCAAAAAGCTGAGAATTGTTTCTGCTTTAAGCAAGCAAATAAAAATTTAGTTCTTTCCTTACTCAAGACTACCTCCTGATTCAATGGAGCGCAAAAAAAAGATCAAACGAAATTGACATTAAACAGAATATTTTGCACAAAAACAAACCTGAGTTGTTTTAGTGTTTCACATGTGTTTCTAAAACTCAAAATATGGGTTCAATTAGTTCAATTTTACTACATTGAAATTAAGCTTCAATTTTTTAATGCACCACTTTGTAGAGACTAAAAAACAATAGCCAAACAAAATACCCGAGTGGTAGACAATGAAGGCATTAAACTGCTTCTCAGAAAAACAGAGGCAGAGTTGTTTTGGTGCTTGGCAGGTGTTTTAAAGCTCAACTTATGGACTCAAATAGCTCAATTATAATATCATCGAAATTTAACATCAATTTTTTAAAGGAACATTTTGTAGAGACTAAAAAAGAATAGCAAAACAAAACTGGCCAAAGTTAATCAAAATTTCTGGTTTGAATAATTAAACAGTGCTCTAAAATCAAAAACTAGTTTCGATAAACTACAAGATTTGATAAAGATTTCAGGTTATATTCTTCCGTTTTTTTAAATTTTCCTCATCCAGGCTAAATCCAGTGCAAAAAGTCAGTTTTGTTCATCCATGCTTTGTTGCTATTATAAAACGAGCCTTATTTTTGAAAGAAATTTCTTGATTTGAATTTCTTCATGTCTCAAAAGTAAAAATGAGAAAATTTTCATAAATATTCTCGATTTGGTCTATTTAGCAAAATTCCATTCATCATAGTTTTTCAGAAAACAATTAAAATCAGAACAATTTTTGAACAGCTCGCATTTGGGTCTTTTTTCTTCTAGATAAATCGTCTTTATCTTAACCTAGATCGAATTAAATCAAACTGATTAATTAACCGAATAATTTTTTCTTTGGTGAGCTTTTTGTAAAAAAATAGACGTTTCTTAGTATGCATAGTAACTACTAAAAAGTTCAAAAATTATCAAAAAATATTTTTCTCTTCTGTGTTAAGTTTGCAAATGGTTTTTATGATTTTAAGTCTAATGAATCGTTTAGTTTCAGTTTTGTTTTTATCAAAAACAAATGCTTGTTGTTTTTGCACGTTAAGCCACGTACTTTTTAAAACCAATATAGAGAAAATATCGAAGCTATCTGAAAATAACAATAAAACGTTTACTTGATTCACTGCGAAAACTCGAAAATTTGCACATGATTTGATCAGCACCAGAAAAACTAAAAACTACAAAGCAATTTTTTTTAAAAAAGATTTTCAAAATATTATGGGAACTGCCAACAGTTCGGTTCCAGTGCATGATCTATCCCCCGGAACCACGCCTACCTCCCAGAACTGGATCACAGCCCACGCCCGCAAATCCGGACTTCCACTTGTGGAAGTGCAACGCCTCTGGGACCAGTTCCAGCAGCTCGGAGCCAGCCGAGTCACCGGAAGGCTTAACCCAGCTATATCGCCTGGATCACGTCTTAACTACAACTCTCACTTATTTATAAACTCGTTGCCAAAAACGGGGGGCAATATTTCTTTTTTAAATTACTGTATCGCTTGTAAAGGTATTGAAGATTTTTCAGAAGACGAAAAATTGAGAGCTATTTTTCGTCTGTACAACGACGGAAAAGAGTGGGACTATAGCACTCTGAGAAAATTAGTTCAGTCCGTCTACCCGAGAGAGAACGATGACGTAATCAAATCGACAACCGACACTTTGCTTTCACAATTCACGTACGGAAGCCACGATTACGTAACTGAAATGGACTTCATGCGTTTCATGCAGAGCTTCGATGATCGGAACTTGTTGGAGAACTGTCTAGCGTATAAAATAGTGCCACAGTATTTGAAAAACAGACCTAGAGATGATCATTTGAGCGACTATTTACCAACGACGAGAAGCGGTGATATCAGAGGTAAAAAAAAAATTCCGGGGCAACCATTTGGGAAATTAAACAACCCAACATTAGACCGATATTTAAAAGATAGCAGATGTGTAAAATGTTGGTCTCGATTCTCAGCTGTTTTTTTTGTACTCTCGTTTTTTGTACTTTCATTCTTTATAAAGTGAGATTGAAAAACTCTTATTGAATTCATAAAAAAGCTGAATCAAGGCCAAAATTTTTGCACATCAGCGATCTTTCAAGTTTCGGTGCGATGGTTTCCAAAACTAAATTGGTGATTATTGAATTGGTTTCCAAAACTAAAAAGATAAAAGATAACTTTTAAAAAGCCTAAAATACCCGACAATATTTAAAAGAACTGCCAAAAGGTCTTGTTGCCGACCTGATACTCATGAACTGCTTCTGGTGAAAACCGACGATAGGCTTTTTGGTGTTCTTCCAAGATTGGACTTTTTCCACTATTATGAGTTGTATAAACAATAATCGAGTCATTTCCTCTCTGTAAAGCGAATTTGTTATTATTAAGTTTGAAGCTTTTGAAACGTATCTTCCTGATCTAGGCCCTCATGGAGGAGGTGGATTGGGCGTGACAGATGGTGGGGTGGGTCTGCCTTCTGATTCGCAGCTGAAGATGGTGGCCCAACTGATGACAGAACCCAGGAGAGATTGGAGACGACTGCTCAACATACTAGGTTTAAAGAGGCGCAACTATAGTTCTTTCCACGACTTTCTTAGAGAGGGGGAGGTTTTTTTTAGGTCGATCAGATTGATATTACGATCTTTCCTCAGACACTATTATATTATTGTTATTATTTTAGTGACTGTCAGCTATAAATAAATGTCGTATAAATCAAACAAGTTGACTCGTAAAAAATATAATAAACACCCCCCCACCCCGCCCACCTCTATCCTCTAGTTGAAAGAAGTGCAACATTTTCAAAAAATTTTAAGCATTTTTGTTTAGGAATTATGAATGGAAGCGTAAAATAAAATAACTTAGAAACATGTATATGAGCATCATTTTGAAATCTGTTATTAATGGAGAAAAATATCTTTTTTGGGAAAAATAGCCCATCCCTAAATCCATTACTGTTCCTAGATCTGGTCATTTAATTGCCTCAAAGCTTTTTTGAAGGCAATTCAATCTCATCCTAATTTTGAGCACTGGAAATGATTTTCTGCAACTAGAATGTATGAATGGCAAAATGATATCCGCAATTGGAACAATCTGAGAAGAACCATTTCTGTTTTCAATAAGATCTAACCACCCAAAGATACGATTTACCGAGACATTTTAGTTATGAAAAAAATAATCTGTGAAACCCATCTGCGAATCCAATTGGCTGAAAGTTCCTCCTTAGAACCAAGTGAACTTTTTGTTTTCGACCCCCCCCCCCCTAACTTTGGTCTGTTTTTGCACAGGTTTCACAGAGAGCGAGATAGTTGAGGCTGAAGAAGATAGCCCGAACGAGCCCCTGGAGACGTTGCAGTCCCTGTTGCGGGGCTGGAGAGACGGGGGTCCAGGGTCCACTGGGGAACTGAGACAGGCTCTGACACTGTCGAACAATACAGACGTGGCCAACAGACTGTAGAACGCCTACTGCTTTTTCCCATGACTGTAGTTTTCATCATAGAATAACTAATTGTGCGAAAACTCTCAACCAATCAACGTTTTTCATTTCTCCGAATGCCTTCCTAAGACTTTGTGATCAAAAATAATTTGTGATTTTTTTTTCGGAAATGTGAGAGAATTATTCTTTTTTCTTCCTCGTTTTAATTAACTAAATTTAAATAACTTTTTTATACTAAATTTATGCCTATTTTATTAGAATTTCTCATTATTGAATTTTGAATTTGATTGGCTGATGTAATTTTAAATGATTATATTCCATCTTACTGGTATGAGGGTTTCCTATTTTCCATTTCATTACCCTGGCAATTTATAGACCACCGAAATCCGAAAAAAAACAGGTTTCAAAAGGTTGTATGTTATTTTTATTAATCTGTGACTGAAGGAGTGAAGGAGGATAGAAATCCATATGGTGCTCATAGATATAATATGTTTTATACCTTCAAATGCAAAATTGTTTCCAAAAAAATCAAATAATCTTTTGAAATTGTTCGGTCAACTAATTCAGAAATAGGTAATGTCTACAAAGGAAGAAAACTTTAATGCAGAAAAAAGAAAAAAGACTCTTTCAATTCCGGTGATCGGTTGAGTTTTAAGTAGAAAATTGTTATTATGCTTCTTAAAATTTTAATTCAACTGACTGTATTGAGTTTTTGAAAACCCCAGAAACCTTGTTCGGGGTTGCGCAACTAGCAAATATAGCTAATGTTCGGAATTCTTAAAATGTAAATAGACTCCGCAATTTGTAAGCAGATTCCGCAAAGGTGAGTAGATTACGCAAATTTTCTGTACAATTTGTAGATTCCGTTAACAGTTGCGGATTCAACGACAAAATTATTTCACTATGCGCATGTTTTATTATTTGTTTCCACAAACTGCTTCGCATTCCCATTTTTTTTGCAAATTCCGCAAATTTTGATGCGATATCTGCAAGTTTGTCTGTCTTTGGAGCGGTTTTGATCAAAACAGCAGTTTAGTTATTTGTGCCTGGAATCCCAAACAGCAAATAAAAAATAACGATCTTGCGGATTCCACCACAAGCGTAACTTCAGCCTGTTTCGGAATCCGCTCACAATTAACAAAGTACTCAGTTTGGCCTCGTAATGATTATTTTGTGAAATCTCGCAACGCAATAAAATTTTGGATTACAAAAAGGAGTGTGTTAAGGACAAGTCAGCAAATCAGTAAAACAAAATCGAATGGAACGCATCAGGAAAGTGAAAAAAATAAATTCTAGCTGCATTCGTAAAATTTCAATTTGGAACAAAACTGAAGTTAAAATAGTTCTTTGCTTACCACTTACCAATTTTCACAGCTGATGTTGCAACTCGAAAAAAATCAACCTTACATTTTTTTTTGAATATTGCCAAAATAATCTGTTTTTTTTCCATTTTTAGTAAGCTTAGGGCTAAGCTTTTTAAACGTAGTTTTTCAAAAAAAGGTTTATCTAAAAAAAACTGTTCAATTGAAATTCATCAATCAAATTAGCTAGCATTTAAAAACTTGGCGCGATCTTGAAAACTTTGCAAAATCGGATATTAGTTCGGTTGCTTCAAAAGCGAAAATTTGCGTTCTTTCTGGCAGCTATTAATTTCGACTGAAACTCCTATTTAAACAGAATCTAAGTTTGAAAAATTTCCTAGTTAGACTGAACGAGATTCAAAATGATATCCGAGTAAGTTTCGCAAATTGATACTTTGATATAGCGTTCTTTAAGGATGGATGATAAGACCTAGCAAACTATAAAAAATTCATGTTTGCCCTCTATTTTGACTAACTCTTGCATAATTTGCTGGAAAGGAAACTTCTGCAAATTATTTGGGATCAGTTTTAACATTCAAAATACGGGAAGGTGACGGACCATAAGTTATACATATACTAAAGCAAAAATTTTAAATTGTACTGTCAACCATAAATTTTGTAGTTTTTGTTCCGACTATTGAAAATGGCAAGGAACTTTGTATTCCGGTGTAGTTTAGTTTCATTTTATTTTTTGTCACTCAAAATCAGGTAATGCAAAACATCATTGGAATGATTTGAGTGATTTATCATAATAAAACCATTTCAAGCGACATTTAGAAAATTTGAAAAATTATTTCTCAGTTTTGGGAGAAACCGTATGAAATTTTTGAGTTTTGGTCTAATTGCGAGCAATCATAGCAAGCGAGTAGGCTTTGTTTTGCTTAATTTACTCCCATCACAGCAACTTTATTTGTGCTCAATTTTAGTTTTATTGGAATAAAGTTAGTGTGTGAAGTTTGTTTTTTAACGCCCTTTTGATAATCAAATTTCAAAAAATCCAGAAAATTTTTTTTCTAGTCTTTTTTAAACAAAATTGTGTACCAGTTTGCCAGTTTTTTTAGGTTTGTCGAGTTCTACTTTTTCATTCAGATTCATTCATCACACCTGCAGAAAAAATGAGACTAACTTCAATTCTTTTTTGTAATTTTAAGACTTTTGTCGCAACTTTCTGTGCTCCTTGAACAGTAGCAGGCTATATCTGCTGACTTTTTGCATTTAGGGTTCAAATCAAACCAAAGCGGAGAGGGTATGGCTGATAACTTTTCCTGTATTTAGGAACTCGAAATTTCTCTGACATTGCGTACAATTACTGAAAATTCTATGTATTGAGATTATACTGAAAAACAACAATATTAAACGAGATGTAACAGTAGAAGTTTCTGCATGTTGACATTTTGTAATAGATCTTGCGCCACCGCGATGAAACGCATGATCTAGTTTTTTGATAAATTTCCAAATTAATCGCTAGTTAAACATTCTTCCAATTTTTAAAACATTTTTTATGAGGAGGCTAAATCAATTGAGTTTGAAAATCTTTCTCTAGGTTTGTAAAATACTAGGTTTGTCGAATAGTGCCCAAACTGTAGCCCCTAAAAACGTTCAGATCTTTATCTTTTTATCACACCAATCAGAAAAAATGAGACTAACTTGAATTCTTCGTTGCGTTTTTAAGACTATGGTGACAATTTCCTGTGCTCCTCTCACATTAACCGGGTATCTCTGCTTTCTTTTTGCAATCAGTGTTCAATTCAAGCCAATACCGGAGGGGTATGGCTGATAATTATTCCTGTGTTTATGAATTTCTAATTTCTGGGCCATTGCGTACAAATGCTGAAAATTATACCTAATGAGGTTATACTAAAAATCGTATACGAGAAGTAATCGTAAAAGTTGCTACATGTTGACTTTTTGTCTTAGATCTCCCGCCATCGCGCTCAAACATATGCTCTAGTTTTTGATAAAGTTCCAACTAACCGCTAGTTGAGCATGTTTCAGACTTCTCAAAACATTTTCTTGATCAGGCTAAGCCATATGAGTTCAAAATCTGAATATATATTTATTTTGTCATGCTCAATGTAATTCAGTTTTCTGGGATTTTGGCTATATTATTTTGTTTTAGCAAACAGGGGCAAATCGAACATATTTGATGGCGCTTGCCATAATTTTGCAATTTAAATGAGTATGCTAGATTAACAGGCATCCAAGACACTGTTCAACGAGTTTGGATACATGCAACAGTTGCTGAAATTTCACCAGAGATGGAAATGAAATTAGGTCATATAGTCATTGGCTCAAGGCCAGCAACAATAGTTGCTGCCGTGCTTTTAGTCGCTTGGACGTCGCTACGTTCGGAGCAAACCATAAATTGGTTCAAGACCACTACCCTATAAAATTCTCAATATTTGGGCTACTTCCAAAATGACAACCACTATTGCTTAAATTGGTAGGCAGCTCCATATATAAGTTTCCAAATACCTTAAATACGCGAATACCTTCAAAAATTGCGTTCGTTACGCCCGTGGTGGGTTAGTTTTTGCAGAACAAAACAAGCTTTGATCCATTCTGTCTAAAAAATCGCCTCCCCCTTCTTTATCACCATTATGTTTTAAATCTCAAACACAACTACGACAGCGGTACTGTATGTAAAAGGCAAAAAATGTAACGTGAAAATTTTGATGATAAAAGTGTTTTTTGAAACAGAAATCTTGCTATTAATTCTCCAGACGGCGTTGACAAGATGCGGTCAAAGACTCAAATACATCCGATTGTCGGTTCAGGATTGCTGGTGGTCGCAATACGCAAAACCATAAAGTCTGGTTTTTAACATTTTCGATGATTGATTGAGGTGCTTGAAAATCTGTTTTTGTACTTTCCATTCACCAATTTCTGCATAATTACCATGACTGTTCAGACTTTGGGATAATGGCCGTCGGTCTGGCCTCGCAAGTACATGAGTCATGATGTATGAAATTTAGATGTTGAAAACACGTTTATATTTCGGATTGGCGTAAATTGATATGATGCATTTATACATTAAATATAATATTCAGAGGCCCAACAGATGGCCTTGACCGTTATGGACTAACCGTATCTGTGAGCTTAGCTGCTAGGTTGTTTTGAATTCAGCATTGTGTTCAGTTACCTTTTCTAGAAATTTAACAAGTGTAAAGTTATTCTGTTCGGATTTTAGAGCAGCTCATACATAGCGGGATGGCATGACGCAGTCAGCAGGACATAAGAACCCGCTAAGTGCTGCAGCGTTTTAGCCTTGATGGAAAGATTCAGCGTTCAGAAGATTAACCACTGGAACGATCCAAGTGGGCAGCCTTGATGGAAATGGCTGTGTTTCCCAAGAACGGAATAGAAGTAAGAAATTTACCCAGAACAAAACCGCCAAATATCGAACCAACTGAACCAATCTACGCAACGAAATTAATGCAGAAACAAAAGCTCGAAAGCGCAACGATGCTGAAGCCAAAGTAAACAGCTAAATTATTTTTGTCTAGGAGGAGAAGGTCAACAAAAATAGCAACGACGGAGACAACAGCGATCCAGTGGCGTATGCAGAATTTACAACATCAAACGGCTGAGAAGAAATCCCAGAGAAAAATTTCACCGTTTTGGCGATTTCAGAAGCAATTGAAACACAAAAAATGATAGATCATCAGGGAGATGACTTAAATGGCCACATCGTGAAGTTAAAATCGAAAACAGAAAACATTTATGCAATCGCTAATTCAGGAGCACAATGTGATTTCTCAACAAAAA